TGGACGAACATAGGAATGTTTCCATTCTAGAGGAACTGATGCTTCTTTGATGGACAGGTTGAAAATATGGGCTATAGGTTTGTATATTAGGTGACCAACAGTTAGTAGAGCAAAGACGGGAATACTATCTGCTCCGGTAGAGGAGGACCCTTTGAGGTAGGACAGTTGTTTCAGAACATTACTTTCGTGGATTGGCTGAAAACTAAATTCGCTTAATGTTTGGACAGGAGTGTAGGAATTTGCATGAGCAGGGGTGACTCCCAATACATTATCAAATAGGGTACCAGCTTCAGAAAAATGAAGGTTAAAATTGTCAACTATTTTTTGGGGATCTGAAAAATATTCCCCATTTCGGTTAAGCTGAACGGGCAGATGATCTGTTTTGGATGCCTTTTCGATACATTTGATTGTTTTCCAGAAAATCCTGGCATTTCCATGAGATTCAAGGAGAGTGGAAGAGAAGTAGTTATTTTTTGCATGCCGTATTTTTTTGACGCATCTATTCCTTAAAATCCTGTATTCTAGCCAGTCATTGACCAAATTACTTTTCTGAGCACATGCCCAAGCCTTGTCCCTAGTTTTCATGAGCTTTGTAATCACAGGATCAAACCATGGTGGACGGTTGCCTTTAGTTTTAAATTTAACCAACGGAGCATGTTTGTTAAGAATTTGGAGAAACGTGTACCTGAAGGTCTCCCAAGCCGTAGTCAGGTTTGGAATATCACAGACCTTGTCAATATCCGAGTGAAGCACATCATTAGTAAATGCCTGAGTGCTGAAGTGTCTCATGGAGTGCTTCTCAACCAATTTAGGGGGGGCTTTGGGTCTGGCTGATGATCTCACCCCAAAAATGAAGGAGTGATCACTAAGGTTATTACCTAGAACACCAGTCAGTGCGAAATTGTGAGGGGCATTTGTCAATAGGACGTCAAGCAGAGATGACTGTCCCGGATTTTTTAGGTTGGGTCTTGTGGGGACATTTATTAATTGAAACAGGTTAAATTCATCTGCAAAATTTGTGGCCACGGCCGGCGGGTTTAGCCAATTCCAATTTAGATCACCCACTAAAACTATTTCACCTTTAGGGAGGCCCCCAAGAAGCTCTCTCAGTGCAGATGCAGCTTCAACATCCTTCCCACTAGGCGGTCTATAGCAGCACACTACCAATATGTGTTGATTATTAGGGAGAGTTATTCTGAGAGCCAGACCTTCAAAGCAACATTTTTTAAACAAGGAGTGAGCTGGTGAACATGCAATAGTATTACGAACATAGATGGCAATTCCACCTCCTTTAGATCCTCGGTCAAGCCGAAAAAGATTGTAGTTGTCAATCGTAATCTGCAAGTCATTGACGGCAGGAGTGAGAAATGTTTCTGTTAGGCAAAATATGTCCGGGTCAAGATTTGCTACTTCTAGTTTTAGTTGACTTAATTTAATCAAAAGCCCTCTGATGTTGACATGTAGAACACCAACACCTTTTCTGCCAGAAAAATCTACAGAATTATATGAGTTCTTTACATTTGGTCCAGGATGAAGCTCAATACCACCCAGAAATAAGAAAAGTAGAATTAATAGTTTGCACAGGTATTTTCTGTGAAAGGATGAAGAGCGACGAACCTTGGACGAATAGCAGCAGCTCGCAGATGGTGTTATTTTTAAGAGCAGAATGAAGTTTGGAAGGAGTGCTGGTGAAGTAATGGGACAAAGATAGGGTTTAAAAGGATATAATGATGGAGTGTAGAAGTGTCTATAAGTTGTTTCATTAGCAGGTGTAGTTGCAAATTTAGCAATAAGTATTGACGCAAAGTAACGCGGGTAGCCATTTGTAGAGTTGAGTGTGGCACTAGATATGGCCGGGAGGGACAGTAGTAAGATACACAGCAGGTGAATTGACATCTTTAAAACACTAAATTTAAACACACACACAGCTCACTCACACGCAGCTCACCCTCACCCACTCTCACGCACAGCCCACACCCATGCAGCACAACGCACACGTGGCCGCACACGCCGCCGCCATCTTGCTGCTGTTGTTGTTGTGAGTGGTGAATGGTGAGGGTGAATGATGAGTACAGTCAATATGCACTGCTGTTATCATACCAGGTACCACCACCACAATATGTACTCCTCTCATCATCGCAGATACCACCACAGCAGTATGCACTGCTGTAATCATAGCAGGTACCAACACAGCAGTATGCACTGCTGTAATCATAGCAGGTACCAACACAGCAGTACACTGCTGTAGTGATAGCAGGTACGACCTCAGTCGGTATACACTGCTGTAGTGATAGTAGATACTGCTATCGAGTTGGTAGATACCGCTATAGTAAATACTAAAACAGTCAGTATATACCACTACAGTCAGTCAATACTGCTACAGTCAGTATATACTACTATACAGTCAGTACATACTGCTACGGTGAGTTGCTACTAGAGTCAGTAGATACTATTATAGAGTGAGTAGATACTGCTATAGCTTTTGTAGTCACTACTATAGTCAGTGGATACAACTATAGAGTCAGCAGATACTATACAGTTAGTCGTTACGAGTATATAGTCGGTAGATACTACTGTAGGCCCAGTAAATACTACTATGGTCAGTAGTTATTACAGTCACTAAATACTACTACACAGTCAGTAGCTACTACTGGCTCAGTAGATACTACGGTACAGTCAGTAGATACTACTACAGAGTCAATAGATACCACTTCCTCTGCTGTATGTAAGGTGTTGTTAGTATATATACCTACGAGGGGTAAAGATATTTTTTGAGGGGGGGGGGGGAGACCACAATTTTCAGAAACATTTTGACATCAACTATTTACCCCACACTTTCTACAACTTTTTGGACTTGTGAAAGCCTCTTATATATTTGTTGGTGGAGAAATGTACAAACAGCCCACCGGGCTTTGACAATACCTTAGTATCTGTGTATATATATGTAAGGTTTTTAAGAAATATATTTTTCACCCGGGCAAAGCCGGGTACTTCCGCTAGTGGACTATAAAACAATGTTGTCATAATAATTCCAAATTAAAGCACTGTTTATAAAGTTTACTTTCTAAAATTACTCCACATATTTAAAACATGTTTTAACTGTGGCAGAAACAGACAATGAGGGATTAAGGTCGTGAGCTTTATGTCCGAGAGAAATGAAGTACATACAGTCCTCAACTTACGAATACCCACAACTAATGAACCAGCTTCCATGACACAACTTTTTTAACATTGATTTAAAATGCAAACTCACACTTGCAAACTGAACTATTTTGTGATCCTCTGCAAGATGTATTAGTAGGCCTTGCGTGAGGAGTGTTTGTGCGCGTGAAAGTCAATGTATATGTGAAAGTGATTGTGTGTGGCCTTCACGTGGCCTCAAAGTGCACCTGGCCTGGCACAGGTGCCGTGGTGACGTTACCGTCACTTCGTGGCGAATGGCGGGTATTGGTGATTGTGTGTGAAAGTGAGTTTGTTTTTCGTGCGGGGAGCGGTAGTGTAGCAGTTGTGCTACCAACCCACCGACAAACACCAGTGACGATTATCTGAATGGGTCTTGAGCCTCCCCTAGGTCGACTAGGCCTCATAATGAGCACCTGGTGCAGTGCATAAACATCATCACTTCAAACTTGATTTGGAGCTTTCGTGACTGCAATAATTACTTTTTGGTTCTTTCGGGAAAGTCACGTAGAAAGAAAATAAATGAAATAATAGAATACGACGTTTCGATTGCAACACAAGCAATCGTCATCATCACTTCAGTCAAACGTGGCCGGTCGTGGTGCTGCCCACTGGCCTCGTGTGCAGTGCCAGCCTTCATAGGTGCTGCTCGATCACAGCACTTGCCCCAACAGTCTGATGAGGCTTTATATATCTGGATGGCTTCATGAAAAAATCTCTGAAGCCATCCAGATGTATAAACACAGACACAATTTCAACCGAGAGGATGGGTACAAACTGAGTGATCATTGGAAGGACGTTATGAACCAGGTAAAGTCTTAACTGACTGTGATGTTTCCATCCTACCTGCCTAAGTCAGCTGTTATTTCCGACTCTCTGTGTATGTCTCTCTCTATGCCTCTCTCTTAGATCTCTCATGGTCAAATGTCCTTTATATTGCACTCACATGTCCTTTGGATTGCACCACTCTTCGACTTTAAATTAACATGCTAATCTCTCACATTAACATAGCCACTTCTGTGCCCTCATCGAGGAGGCCACTCACCTATCTTACAGTTACATGCTGATTTCTCACATTAACATCACTAGCCCTGCCCACTTCTTTATGACCCTTAGGCTACACCCATTTCAAACCTTTTTAAACAGTCTGTCTCAGCAGCGGAACATGCTTTCCCACCTGATGACGGACGCTTGTGTTGCGCCCGAAACGTCGTGATTTATTTTATTTTATACCTACGTTACTTTACCGAAAGAACCAAAGAATATGGATTCCTGCAGTCACGAAAGCTTCAAATCAAGAATGTATTACAGCATTAGATGCAAATGTACTATAATTCTTATTTATGAGTTTCACAATGTTTCCATTTTTTGTTGAACCATAACACATTTCATAACACTGACCGTATTGGGATTTAGAGTACATTGTGTTCCGACTTATGAACAGGTCTCATGAATGAATTATGCTCATAAGTCGAGGACTGTAGTTTATGCAATTTACTCTAGATAAATAAAGGAGTTCCTGACAGTTTGATTGGGCTGAATTCTATAATGTCTCTCAAGAATAAACGTTCAGTTGCACTTAGTTATATCTTTAAAAATTAATCAAAACAATATCAAACTAAATTCTAATTTACGGCATACTGGTGTGTTAGGTGGACTTTCCGTCTGCAGACATAATTACGCAAGTTGTCTTTTGTTGAATAAGTAAATGAACTTGGAAAGATGAAAATTTCAATCATTATTTTTCTCTAGGTATCCGAGCACTTGAAGCACTAAATGTATCAGCAGATGGGAGAGCGGAAAGTTCAGTGATCGCTTACCGGCAGAGAAAACTCCTCTGCAAGATACTTGAGCAAGGCAGCCTGATGGGAGAGGAGTTCAGATCGCTCAGCGACCCCCGCAAGAAACCGCAAGTCGATCTCCTTGCGAAGGACCGAGGCAACAGAGTCCAGCACCAACAGACGTACGCGCTTGGCTATGAGCTCCTCTTCAAGACTCTCCAGCCTGCTCCACATGGCCACAATCCATCGCACAGCTTTGTGATAGACCGATTGTTTTGCAGGATTCTGTATTGCAATTTAACCTTTCATTTGAATTGGTATTCACACTTTGGAACCTGTATTACTCGTGTTATGATTTTATTTAACTCTTGAATTAAAAACATTCTGCATCTCCACCTGTTACACAAGAATCGGTTTACTGTTACAGTGTATTTATATGACACAGGTCTCCTTTGCAAAATATACTTCTGGTCTCAATGGCCTCTTTCCCGGTCTTACATATTGAAATTGTGTATTGTGTAACAACCACACAATTATAAATGTGATTTTTGTTGTCATCATACAGTACTACTTTTCACATGTTAAAATATTTTCATACATTAAGAGTGACAGTGGCAACATCTGCTGTTGGGATTAAAAAATGCATAACATTTCTTTTTCGCTCTCTTCACGTGGCTATTTCTGTTAATATAGTGCCTTTTAACGACAGGATCCAAATACTCAACTTAACAGCCACAGCTAAAAACAGAGGCAGGTACACTTTTTAAAGGCTTGCTTAGCAATTCATGATTGCTGTAATTGTGCAGAGCAGAAGTGTGCAACCTTTGGGTTGTGGGCCAGAAACGGCATGCGGCACGGTTTTGACCGGCAGAAGGTTCGGTGAGCAACTTGGTGGACTGTTCACCGCACAGAGACTATACCGTGACGGCTCGTGGGTGGGCGGGATATAGATTTGCAACATCATCAGAGCTCAAACAAGGTTGCACGGCCCTGGCATCGAGTGTGTTGCATATATTTACAGGAGACCGATGCATTCATGTTGCAAATTAAGTGAAGTGTGAAGTACCTGCTCAGGACGCTCTGTGTAGTGAGCTCTCTGTATACGTGCACACGGTTGGTCATGGCAATGACGTGCTCGTCTGTGCAGAAATGCTCTGGGTGACGACTTCGAGCAATCTCCACTAACCTTTATAAATACATACAACACACGGACACCGTTAAATAAGCCACATTTGTAAAACTCAACCAAGTAAACTCAATAATCTTGCTTATAGAAACGCTTTGAAAATAACAAAAATAATAAAATGAGAATTATTGTAAACAGTAATTCTCATTGTTGCATTAAAATGTATCAGATTTCACATTAAAATCTAAATTTTCCAAGCTGTATTTCCAATGGATAATTTAAAGACACGATCTGAAAAATATATTGTAGATACGTATTTAGACTGTGGAGTGCTAGACTGTTCAACACATGTTTGCAGATACCTCAATAAAATAAACTGCATTATAGCACTCCTGTCACTGGCAAACATGGCAATACATCAAAGCCGTGATGCCACAATAACACTATACAGAGTCACCTGATTTTAAGTATTTTTTTTCTTATGAGTTATATTTCATGTTGGTCAGCATAGAACACACAGCCTAGGTATGTAATCTACAAGCTTGTAGATACATATTTATTTGAGGGTTGCATCTTCCTTAAACTCTCTGGCCTCATCATGTAAATGTCCAATCAACACCTCTCTGCGGAGAAGGCCGACTCCGTGTCGATGTAGATGACTCCCCCGTCCAGTCCACCCAGGGATGCTGGCAATGTAGCTAGAGCACTCAGCATCATACAGAACTGCGTTTTTCCACAGCCGGATGGGCCAGCGACCTAAGGGAAGAGCAACACAAATGAGATAAACAACCAAAAACAGGTCCTCTAGTCAAGCATATGGCATTGGGATAGAAGGCTTACCTACCTCAGTGATTGAGCCACAGGGAATGCCTCCTTGTAAATCCCTGTCAAGTGCAGCAAGGGATGTGGCAAAGAATGCAGCCATGGGTCTATCCCTCATCTCCAATGCCTGTTTTGAGAAAATGTGTAAGCACGAAACATTTGTTAAAGTAAAAAAACAATGTGGCCTACTGCTGTTATAAGTTAGACATATAGCAATACACTTTTCCCCACATTATTATAGGACGAGGGTCACAAAATGATTAAAATTCAAGAATCAAGTGTTGTTGTCTTGTTTATACTGTTTTGTCTGTAATATTTCGATGTCTGTATTGTATAGTTCTCTCACATTTGTACATGTCTTATTTGCTATGTCTTAATCTTCTAACCTAAAGAAATGTTTTGCATACAATGTACATACATACACATTAATTAGATACAATATGCATTATTTCATGCATGTATTGTGAGGATAAGAATCAATTTCAAATTGTGAATCGTTATGTGCCTACTCCATGCTTTAGAATTGTTTCTTGTTAAATTTCGATTTAAGGCTTTCGTGACTGCAGGGATTCATCTTCTTGGTACGTGACTTTACCGAAAGAACCAAGAAGAAGTTGTTTCTTGTTGTAACGTTCTTACCCGCCCCTACTGGACAACTCTGAAAAAGAGCTTTATAGCTCATCGGATTCCTCCAGTATAAACAACTATTCTGATTCTGATCACGGGTGTCCTACATGTGCAGTGTCCGGTCGGACTGGTGTCAGGGGAGTCAAAGACGCACGGTGATCACGCGGGGTGCGCAGGCCTGGCTCACGACCCTCGCGAGCTGCCGCACCGTGGCATAGCTCTTGCCCGTGACGCGCAGCAGTTCCACCGAGGACAGTGACAAGAAGTCCTGAAAGGGAATCCAAACGAGAGTGGTGTCAAATTTCGATTTAAAGCTTTCGTGACTGCAGGGATTCATCTTCTTGGTTCTTTCGGTAAAGTCACGTAGAAGGGAAATAATAAAATAATAAAAATAAAACATAATAAAATAAAAATTCTCACGTTTTGGCCACGACACAAGCAGCCGTCCTCAGACAGCTCTGTTTCTTCACCTGAGGACAGCTGCTTGTGTTGTGGCCGAAACGTCGTGAGAATTTTTTATTTTATTATGTTTTATTTGTATTATTTTATTATTTACCTTCTACGTGACTTTACCAAAAGAACCAAGAAGAGAGTGGTTTCAGTTTAATGCAGAGGCTTCCGAGACATCTGGCCACTGTTACATACCTGTCAACCCCTTATCAGTGCCCTACCTTATTACAGACCAATTCAGACCTTATTGGTCACCCCGTGCCCCTATAAATCTCAACGTTCATCTTAATAAGTCCCGATCTATGCCCTTGAGCATAGATCGGGCTCCCCCACTCTTTGAAATATCTGCCTGTCGCCGTCGCTAATTTTGCCTTCTTTGCCACAGGAGGTAACGCTGCCATTGCCGCTGTGCCGTGGTGGGGCTTGTTTGGAAAATCGGATTTGGAAATGTAGTTTGTGCGCATGATCTGTACCGAGCGCGTCTTAATTCCAGATCAAATTTGTCAGCTGCAATGGGGATCGCTACTCTCCAGAGTAAAAAAAAAAATTGTCCCACGACTTTTTTTAAATGGCCCTATTATTTGTTTCACCCGTATTGAAACGGCCATACACCGTATGCACCTGAAAACTCAATTTCCCTGTACAAGAATACAGATAAATCGTATGGGTTGACAGGTATGCATTCATAATAGAGGTGGTTTTTTTCCGGTAAGTATGTTGAACTTCTTTCGCACCGCACTTAGCCATTAAATAGAAATGTGTCGTAAACCCACCACCACCCGATAGCCAATTTGTCAGGTTTGTCACGTAAACAAAAACATGACAATTACTTACGACTTCAGCACTGTTAAACTTTGCTGCACAGCAATTCCGCAGTGTGCGTTTTTTTATGTTTATTCTTTTTAGGATCCTGAAAGTTTATTGTGGTATTTAACCAACGTCCTTTATTTATTGACAAACGGTTTTAGTAAACGTGTGAACATCTTAAGCTTTAGCGATCCAGTGAAGTGAAAGCTGATAAACAGCATGATAAAACGACTTTTCACTTTAAATATTCATGTGGAATACACAGTCCAGTATTAAAAACAAGTAAAATCTGGATCTTTTGGTGTTCAGTGGTGAAGGGGCCTGTTCCTTAAAATATGACTGAGCATTTAAAGGTGAATAGGATCAGTTAAGTACCCCCTATCAGGTTGATATTGCCCCACAGGTCAGTATTCGTGTCCAGCAGATGAGGACCTCACCAGAGTTGTTTTCTCTGACCAGTTGAGGTGACCTGGCAGGTGTGTTCGTGTACATCAGACGATGCGTGTGAGTTTTAAAGTTGCTGCTCACACGGTGAGGCAACCTGACACCTGGGTATTCATCTCAGGTGAGGTGACCTGAGAGTCGAGTGTGTTCATGTCCATGAGGTAAGGTGGCCTCACAAGTGTTGAGGATTGTTGCTCACCAGGTGAGGTGATCTTGTTAGTGAGTGTTCATATCCGGCGAGTGTTACCTGGCAGGTCTGTTGATGTCAATCAGGTGAGGTGAACTTACAGGTGTGAGGGTTTGTTGCTCATCAGGTGAGGTGAGCTGGCAAGGGGTGGGGGGAATTGATGTTCGTATCAGGCGAGTTACCTGGCAGGTGTGGATGTTGTGCTTGGATAGTCGCTCGCACACATCCGCGGGCACGCCGGTTCTCCGCAGCTTCTTCCACGACATGGTCGCTGGGTCATAAACTTGACAATTTCCTGATAAAAAAAGCAAATGGCAAACAAAACAAACAATATCATTCACCACGGGGCCATGGGCACACAGGCGAAAGATCCCCCACACACATCCCCACGGATAATTTAACGCCAATGAACATTCGGCCGACGAACATTAAAACGAAATAAATCCAAATTTGTATTTAAAGCTTTCGTGACTGCAGGGATTCATATTCTTGGTTATTTCGGTAGTCACGTAGAAGAGAAATAATAAAGTAATACAAATTAAAAACTATTGTTTTTATTGTTTTATATTTGTATTATTTAATTATAAAAAATAATAAAATACAAATATATATTTTTAAAGTTTATAATAAAATAATACAAATATAAAACAATTAAATTTGTTTTAATATTTGTATTCTTTTATTTCCCTTCTACGTGCCATTACCGAAATAAATCCAGTGACACTTTAGTAATGAAACACTGAATGTAAAGCCACCCGTGTCCGTCACGTTTGTCCATGTTTGCTTGTTGTAGTACAGAGTTAGACTGATGGCCTTAATCTAAGTTGTCTTGTGGTTGTTGTTGTTTGACTTGCATCCCACTGGGATTTTTGCACACAGCGTTGGTGTACGGTGCTTTTTGTGGAATATGTTGCTGTTTTTCCTTGGCTTTTCTGTTTGCACTCAGTAACATATTCACTTAAAGATGTTTTCTGGTTCATGTTTTTGTTGTTTGTTGCGGTTGCACCCGATTCAAGAGCCGAATGTCTCACAGCGCTACACCAAATAAATGAACTTGTACTACTGTCGCCTCGGTGTTTGTTATCCGTCCGTTGTCATTTCGTCGATCGTGAAGGAGCCGAAACATCGTCGCTCGCCTCACGAAGCCCCCAAAACCACACGACGACGAAAAGGCGGCGGCTTCCTCGCACGAACGGCGACAACTTTCGTCGATTGATCGCGACGAGGCTTGTGTGTAATGTTGTCACACTAAGGAGCTTCGTCGTTGTTAAACGTTTCGTTGTTTTTACCTCAAACTTCCCGTCGCGGGCCCATTGGCGTTTCTCTCTTCACAAGGGAACCTCCGACGCACGTGAGCGGTCAATCGCAACGCCAACAACACACAACACCACACACAACACAACACCACACACAACACAACAACACACAGCCGCTTCGACCTGGACGCTTGTGGATGTGTTTAATTCGCGGTGTGCGAGATAATTGCGGCAGATAAAACGTGGAGGCGATTACCGCGCAGAGTTCTGAGGCGAGGTGGGCAGCAGGAGGTGGTGGGAATTCGGGCGGTAAACGAGACCGGCGCGTGACGTCACCGACAAGCGCGCCCCGCTGACATGACGTCACGACGTCTGCTTCGCTGCGGATGACGTCACTACGCTCGCAGAGGAGGCGAGAATGTTGAACAACAAATCACCGTCACGCCTATAAGGGGAAGCCGTGACGACAGAACGCGTCCGGTTCCCTACGAATTACGTCATACCTAACTGCTTGTGACGTCATGTCTAGTCGTTACGACACATCGTTTGTTTTGTTCGTTCCCCGGCGTGACGTCAGGCCTTCATGTTGACGTCCCCGCACGTCAGTGACGTAATGAAGTCAGCCAGCGTGTTCCATTTAGGGGCCGTCCATAAATGACGTCACGCGATTTAGGACAATTTTGACCCCCCCCCTCTCGTCACACGGCGTCACAAAAAGTCAGACCCCCCTCGAATGACGTCACAAAGCTCTGCCCCCCCCCCCCCCCAATAAAACATGCTTCAAATCGCTTTCAACTATTATCATTGTAGTGCCTATTTAATGTGGCGCTGCACTCGTGATGTTGTAGGAGAAAACATTTATAAAAACTTAAATATTTATTTAAAGTTGCACATTTTGATGTGACGTCACATTTCTCACCCCCCCCAGGTGCGTGACGTCATTTATGGACGGCCCCTTAGTAGAATGTCACATGTGATAAGCAGCGCCTCCATCATGTCACCAGTCTCTCCACATAAAAGGAGATTACGCGATTCGTGGTAGCCACGGAATGGATTCTGAATCAAATCATAATTTTGACTCGCACCTGAGAAGCCTGCGACGTCTCGATGGGATGCCGAGTGTGTGTACGATTGGGATGTATGCGAGTCATACAACACACATGTTACAATTCATGTTAATGAGTGATCGTCATCCCTGCAACCACCAATGGACACGACAAATCACAATGTAAAAAAAAAAGTGGAATCGATTGACTTTGAATCCAAATTATAATCGCATTGTTGAATCGTTCCATTCATGGATGGAAATCAAACTGGCCCGAGTTACATTTTCCGATTTGGAGCAGTGTGCGAACCACTGCACCACCGCTCCCTCCATAATAACCCACACATTTCTAAAGTAATGCCACAATTTTTATATTCACACACACCCAGACATTCAAACCAAACCACACACGTGTACTCGGCCCTATTTTCCACACGCTTTGACGATTCAGGTCACCATTGCAATGCTGGTAGAGTTCTCACATGGTTCATGTGGCATTTTATTGAGGGACTGCGTGTAAGGTTGGCATGGTCTGGGACTGTTTTGTTTTTGCTGCTTTGTCCAAGCATGATAAAATAAGATTTACAAAAAAAACCTGTTTCAGTTGTTGCCAGAAAAAAGGGGGAAACCCCTATTATATTTTGGTATTGGCAGAGGTCTAATGATGTAGATGCTAACCCCGAGCTCTCATTACTTTGATAGTGCGTTGTCTTTGAGCTGTACGCCTTTTGGCGTCCTCTGGTCTAGCACCAATTGGGTCGAGGCTCAAAAGAAAGCCGTCCCTTAGTGTGGACCAATCAGTTTCAAGGACAATGCATATATTATCAGTGTTTTTTGTTTGCATTTTGACCACAAGTATCGTGGTTAATGCAGACACGACTCCTTGTAAAAAAAGGCTTCAGTTTTATTGCAAGAAAAAAGGAGACAAACCCTATTAAGACTTACATAATTAATATCTATTTAGTGACCTTACCTTTATCTCGATATTGCACTCCTGTTATTTGTATTGTTTGCTGTTGTAACGTGCCAAACCACCCACACTGGACATCTGTGAAAGAGCTTCATCGCTCATCGGATTCCTCCAGTCTAAATAAAGATTGGGATTCCGAAACTTAAATAAAACTTGAACAGCAGAGACAAGTTCACGACGAGTGTCAGTCTTTATTAAACTGATGAACAGCACACGTGATGCGTACACTTAGTATGTGAGGAATAGGACGCACGCGCGCCTCAAAAAGGGCTTCTCACCTGGTGACCGAGAGCCTCTAACCCACCCACCGGGTCTGCCTTACCACAAAGTGTTCCACAACTCGAGAAGCTTTCACCCAGATAATACAAATGATCTGCCTGTATGAGAACCAGTACAGTAAGGAAGTGTTTAGACAGGCCATCGACACCGGTTGTTGGGATTGTTAAGTGCTATCTTACCCCTTCGTATTGCAAAAAGTATTATTCGGGCTCTCAAAGGATTTCTCCCAATAACGAGTCAAACAGACACAGACAGGACCCTCTGCTGAGTATATCCAATTCGGCGAGGTCTTGCCGGATTCCTACCAGGCAGTTCTCCATTGGATTCACCGTCACAATTGTACATTATCTCCTTTGTAAAAGGCATGAATTGTAATTGGCTCTCACTGCTTGCGTTCGCCATCGCGCCACCTGCCACTTACAATTTATACACGTTCAGGGATTACAAAAATAGAGCGTTAATATTCTTAAACCAATAATACGATCAGCTTAACGAAGCCAATTCAATAAGAAACGATCGTTGGCAATGCTGCATCCTCCAACTTTAGCCCTGCGACAAAACTCCAGCAATGTGCAGCACCAGCAGAGCACGAACTTTGCCAATGTTATTACTTGTTTTACTTTTTATTATTAAGTGCCCCGTTATGGGGGTGACAACAGAAAAAAATTGGCACTGAAAAATCTTGGCACACCTCCCTCAGTAGGGGTATTTATAAACGTAGCCATTGGTTGTTGGTGGAGTTTACCCGCTCACGATTGCCCAATGTGCAGGCTACGTGGTCACAACTCTCTCATAATAGGCCAATGGTCCAGATCACTACTCGCTCTGAATAGGTGCATGTTCCAAACCACCTGGTTACAATTGGTCACTGGCAAAGACTACTCGGTAAAGCTAACCCTTCATTGTAGCCAAGGGCACTTGCAGCCACAACGCGCAAGTATTTTTTTTACAGTGTGCCAAAAATGTACATTGCGCTACTGCCAGTGAGTGGAGTGGTTACACTTTGCGTTCGTTTTGGCCGCCCTAGTTTCTACTGACGACCGCAGTGAGAGGTCAGCCCGGTCAGAGCAGCACCCAATGCCGACTCACTCGTCACCCTGCTGCCCCTTCAATGCATTCCTCCCTTGAAAAGAACTGGCTGGTAGCTGGAACATTTAGATCGCGACAGCAGGTATCAACTTTCTGGTAATCTTACATGGAAAAAAACGACACCGGGTACACGGGGACGCGTACAAGAGAACATCGCACTAGCATCTGGCAGGCCAAAGGGTTCCTATTGCCAAGGCATCCAATCCAAGACTGCTCAGCATTACCCGGCAAACACAGTGAAGGCATGTTTTTTAGTAAAGCCACAAACACACCGTTTGGGCAAGTGCTATTAGCGAGCCCCTCTAATATGGTCAGCACGGCACATAAGACGACAGTGCGTTGATCACGATGCCCATCTCACAGTCCCCGACGCTACAGTCGTGACACCGCTGCAAAAGCCTTACATGTATTTTAGGCAGACTCGACTTAGAGAAGTCACAGGCCCGATTCGAACACCTAAATGGCAATGCTGTGCAGGCTCAAGAATTGGAAGGAGATCCACTGGGATTGTGGCACAGAGCATTCACCACCACCGCCACACACAGACACGGCACAGTAACACTGAACAAGGTGGCGGGGACACACGCTCTCACGCAGCACAAGGCACGTGGCAGCGACACACCGCTGCTGCCCTAGACAATTGTGCGTCTTTGCTCTACATTCATGCCCAACCCTGACGATGGCTCCTCTTACCTCCTCGTGACAAAACCCAATCGAGGGGGGGGGGGGGGGGGGGGGGTTAGCGTCAGCCTCCGGAGGGTCTTAAGGCGTTCACTCAAATCGATCGCAGAATATAAATTCTTGGAGTAACGAGAAAGCTTGACCGAAAAAAAATTCAAAACGACTATCGTCACACACAGCAAACGGGCAAGCGACACTGACGACTCGGCGCAGACTCGCCAACGGCAGCAGGAAAGAAACGAGGCAAACGCCGATCTGCATACAGCTGTTAAAGGCTGGCGGTGTGGTAAACGATTCGGCTACCCATAAGGAGGGCCCTGCTCGTGGCTGACACACCACGGAGAGCACTTCCTGCACACACCCATATGCTCGCACACCCGTGCACACGCACGCCCCGATGGTTCGGTGGCCAATCGCAGCATCGAGGCACTCCGCACTAGCTGCGCACAGCAAAACGAAGCTACGAAACGTCAACACTGAACGCGTAACCCGTGCCAAGTCGCCGACGCTTTGGATACAAATTAAGTTTACGCTCGTGTAACCGCACTAACAGCTAGACGCTCATGTCTAAGTGCTACAAGGAAATTCTGCTTTGAAGACAGCCGCCCCCCCCATCGTCGCCCCTCATCTGCCACGACCCCACACCACAGAGCCAGCTTCAGGAAGGGGTCACGGGGTCACAACCGCCGGGTCATCTACGCAAGGGGGTGGTCGGGCCCCGGCACCCAGCCCTCTTTCCTCCGCAGCTGCCAATAGTTGCTGTACACCTCGTCAAAGAGGTGCTTGCAGGGGAAGGTGGAGCCGAGCTTGACACAGATGAGGAAGGCGCCCGACATCTTGCGGTGCAGAGAGTAGCTCTCCTCGGGCGGCGGGGAGAGGCGGTGCTGCAGCATGGATGGCATGAGGTTGTAGACGCGCATCGTCGTGTTCTGCGCGCCGAACTCGAAGGGCTCGTCCTTCGCAAACGCCTCGCCCAGGATCATCACTGCCTCCACGTGCATGCGCGCCACCGGCTGTGCATGTCCGGGGGTGGCGGCGGAGAGATGCAGCAACACAATAAAAGGGTGAGAAGGGGAGATGTTGGCGGACGCGAGGCGAGACGGAGCGACGTCGAGTACAGCAAAAGCTCAGTAATCCCGGCACTTTATCATTCGGGATGCTCTATT